ATTTAATTTAAAATTTATTTAGTTTTGTAATATTTTATTATATACTAACATAGTATATAATATTAACATATTATATTATTTACAATAAAATTATTTAATTTATACAAATAAGGAATGGGTTTTGCGTTTTTTTTATTTAGTTTTCATTTACCCAACATTTTATTCGTTAATACATCAATACAATTCGGAAAAATGACTTGTGTACATATGTTGTTAAATAACGTGACGTTATGACAATAGTATTAAAAATTTTAAATAAATATATTATAACTTGAAGTCAGCAACAATGATTGTGAAAAATTTTTTAGGTCTAGTATATAAAATATTTCGTTTTACACAATATATATTTTACGTAAATTTAACTTAAGTAGGAAAGTGCTACATCTAATACACGATAGTGAGATGGCAGCCCATAAATGCCTGATCAAATGTCAAAGCGTCACCGCATATCTACACAGAAAAAAATTACTTGAAACATATTTATGTTTTGATGCACCGTACTCTGCTAACAATGTCTGACTTACAGGATTTAATATATTTTACTTAATAAATTGAATTTTATTATTAATTTTATTAAAAAATGTAAAAAATTAATGTATATAACAATAAAAACATATGTGAATATATAAGTTGATATATAAAAATATAGTCAAAAGTCTAAAAATTGCTTGATATATGATACTTAAATGTACTCGTAGTATATGATTTTTGAAGTATTCGATATCGGCATTTGTTACACATATTTTAGTTTAGTTTTTTATGTTATTTGTTAATAAAAAATATTATTTTTATTATAAGAAATTAAAAACATTTTTTTAATAAAAGTTGAATATTTTAAAGTTTAAAGTTTAATATATTTTTTTATTAAAAAAATTATATATATCATTTTTAATAAAAACAATGGAAAATACAGTCAAACTTCCATAACTCGTACTTCTATAACTCGAATTTTCAATAACTCAAACTGAATAGAGTGCAACAAGGCTTAGAGAGCAAATTACAATTAAATCAAAGTTCTTTAACTTGAAGTCTCCATAAGTTGAACCTTTTCTTTGCTATATGGTACTTCGAGTTATGGAAGTTTGACTGTATTTTTTTTTATATTGAAAATATTTCCTTTAATTAATAAAAATGGAAAAGATTTTTAATAAAAAAAATGGATTGCGTTATTGTAATAAAAAAAATTAAAAAAATTATTTAAAAAAAATGGAAATATTATTTTTAATAAAAAAATGAAATATATTATTTTATTAAAAGAAATTGTAAACATTTTTTATAATTAAAAAATGAATATATTATTTTATTCAAAGAATTTAATATTATTATTTTAAATGAAAAAATTGAATATATTATTTTATTAAAAAATATTGAAAATATTATTTTTATTTAAAAAAAAATGGAAAACATTATTTTTAATAAAAAAATGGAATATATTATTTTATTATATGAAACTGAAAATATTGTTTTTATTGAATATATTATTTTATTAAAAAAAATTATTTTTTATAAAAATATGAAATATATTATTTAAAATATATGAAAAATACTATTTTTAGAATAAAATGTTTATTATATACATTATAGTACTATTTATTATATATATTTATTACTATATTATTATTTTATTATATTATAAATACATTATTATATATGTGTACTATATATATACCATTATCATACAAATATCATTTTTACATACAAAATATATTTATTTAAATGTATGCATGCAAACTTTTTTAATGCTGGCAATGCTTCTATATATTCGTGGCTTCGTGAAACCACAGAGGCAAAAACAATACCAAAATGGCCGTTTACAAAGTGATGAGGAATTTCTGTGTGTCTGTGAATTAATTTATATAAAATTTTCGCGGATTTTTTTTGTTTGATAACATATTTATTAGTGTTGGAGTGTAAATAAGAAAACGTTAGTTGTGAAAGGATATTTCATGCATTGATGGCAAATGAATATCCATTAAAAAGTTAAATTATAAATTGCTTTAAAATGGCGCACGCAATCAAAGCGAGTTGACTTTCTTTTTCTGTACACCATTCAGTTTTGATTTTCTGTTTTTATATAAAAAAATTGTACTTTTATACTAATTGTATATACACAAACGATATATAAATACACAATTTAAGCAATTATTATATTGTATTGGTGAAATTTGTTTACCTAAATATTGTAAATACTTATAAATTTTTTCGGTGAAAAAAAAAAAATTGAAATAAATACAATGTGTGCTGCACAAAGCAACCCGCAGCAGAGCTTCGGCTATACATGGGGCTTCGCTGACAACAGTCGCGCGGATTCCGTATTAGAAATGTCGCCTAATATTAGTTATACCGTCAGCAGTGAATCCGTAAGTAAATTTTGTTTTCTGATAATTGTTTAGATTGTTTTTCACATCAATACTATTTCTAATTTCCCTCTTTATACTTACAAAAAAAAAGATTTTCATTGTGTGACACACAATGTGTGTGCATTGGCTCCATATTACTAGCCCATCATAAATATGTATAATCTGTATGCATGAATTCGTATGTAGTTTGTGTATGTAGCACAACTTTTTTTATGTAACGTTTGTAGTGCTGTCACATGCAAGTGTAGTGTGAGCCCGAGAGCGATTAGAGAGTCAAAACGTTCTCACAACCATTGGTGATTCTCGTGTGTATGAAGTATAAACACTTGAAGTTGCTTATTTATTTTATATAAAATTCTTTATATAATTTGTTTAGAGTATCCTTTATATTAAAAATATGCTATTAGAATAATTTAAATATAAAGAAACTTATATTAAAAAAAATGCAAGAGAAGTGACAAGAGGCGCAACAGTTCAATCCAATTAAAAAAATACTGACTCGTCCTCCACTTGTGTATTGTCTTTGAAAAAAAAACATTGATTTGCTTACGCTCTTCATTGTATGAATTGCGTATGTATAAGTAATTTATTGTTGAACGCACATACCAACACTTGCCAGTGTGTAGCGTAGTATGTTTGTTTTGACTACTTGTAGTTTTGGCGCTAAATTCAATGTAAAAAATGTTGCCACCTTAATTATTTAAGTTCTCTCCTCCTCCAACATTTTCCAACTGCTTTCAGCAATTCTTGAATTTAGAAGATTTATTAGTCTTTTTTATTTTGTTTTTTTTTTCATTTTCATTTTTAATTTATAATTTTTATGTCAAGAAAATAAAATAAAATTAATATTAAACTTGCTAATTGACACTGACATTACTGTAGTAATTTTGTTGTAGCTCTGATAGTGTTTCACTGTACTTAGGAAAGCTTGTTTAGTACGCTTTCCTTGCGAACAGAGAAACCTCGACGGCTTCGATTAGCTTTTTTTGCTGATTGTATGTAAATTTCATTTAATACCTGTGTATATTATCAGCGTATTGCTTTAAAGACCGGCATTTTGTGAACCAAGTTATATCAACATAAAAACAAGTGAAAAAAATGTTTGAGATTAGTGTACTTTACAAAAGTCCTTTATGAAATTGGAGTCTTCAGTAATTGCGAGAAAAGTTCTTCGTAAGATCTTTACTCCCCCACAAGTTGGCGACGACTATCACATTCGAATAAACCACGAATTGTACGTGCTTTATCACGACATTGATATAAGTCAAGAAATCAACATTCAATGGGTACGCTGACTTGGTTATGTCATGAGAATAGATGAAGGTATTTGCTCCAACGAAAAAGGTAATTGAAGGGTTAGGTTTGGAGAAAGAAGTGTCTCCGGTGGAGTGATGAAGTTGAGGGAACACTAACCATTCTTGCTTTACGAGGCAGATGAAAATATATATGGGGGGCACATGAAGAGACAGCATGCATGTCGCCGTAAACGGATTATGGCCATTTAAAGAAGAAAGAAAAATTAATCGAAATGTATTCTTTAATTGATTCTCTTAAAATATTTTTTTACTTGTATTTAGATAGATAATCTTATGTTACCTATGAGTGCGTTACTTTTGAAGCTACAAAAGTTTTAAAAGATAGACAATTATTTGGTGCTTAAGCTGTTTAAAGATGTCATTTCATTTATTACTATACATTTCTAATTAATGTAGGTGTCTTCAGATTCTACAAATTAAAAATTCCACCTTTCGTACGTACAGTTTTGTGAAAATCTAAATAATTACTCAAGTAAATAGTCTCATAATATCTACAGATCGCAGGAGCAATCAGATCTTACAGAGTTATGAGTGTACTTCGATTAAGTTTCACTCACTACTAACTTTTACACCAGTTAAATTGTTATAGTTTGCATGGTCATTGGAATAACAAATTACAGGAACAATCACACTTACCTACATCCTAACCCTTGCATAGATCCTTGTACTTCCTTACTTGTTAGGTGCTTGATAAATTTTTAACAACCAACAACAATGTATACTGACTAATGTGCGTACTAAGATAAGTGTACATTGTTAGTATATACACGGCGGTGAACTAAGATTCTTGTCAAAACCCAGAGTTAGTAAAGGTACTGCATATATGTCTAACAGGACATAGGTCCCGGCCAAAGTGTCATTTAGTAGTCAAACTAGAAGACTGTCCTACAACGCTGAACAACAACAACAACGTGTTGATATTAACTCTTGTCTGATTAAGCAAATGCAGATATTTTTCAAATCAATTATTTGATTAGTTAATTAGTATATCACCTTTCTATTGTTGCTGTGTGCCTTCGTTATAGATTAAATCCGTATGAAATCATATATTTTTCGATTTGATCAAAAGCATATATTAACTGCAGTGAAATCGATCTTCCTTTCGAATCCTTTATGGGTTTATGGGTGATATTGTTTTTTTTTACACTTCCATTTTAGTAGTATAAGTGTGGCCTTTGTTTACTTAATTGGGTAGGAGAAAACTCAAAATCTTTGGGGCGAACAGAGCTGTCATCCTGTAAAATTTGTATGGATTGGTTGCTTAATTGGTTAGGAGGAAATTCCAAATCTTTCGGACGGTTTTTCTTATTGACCTGATAAAATTTGCCATCTTGCAAAATTAACAATTTCGTTTGCCAAGTTTATAGACTTTTCAGGTTGATTTACTTTCACTTGATTGGGAAATTTGTGTGTTTTAGTGATGTTCGTATAGTGATCACTGTGCTGCCAAAAACTCTAATCCATTTTACTATGACGGGTCATTATTTGAACAGCGCTTTGGGCACAATGCCTTTACTCTAACTTTGGTTGGTTATTAATATAATGTCTTAAAGGTTTAGCACCTTTAGAGTTATTCTTAGTTAGTTTTATATGCACTATCTTTTTTTTTTTACTTTCATATAGCATATTACATATTGTTCTATAAATAAATTAATAAAAAAAAAATAATTTGTACATAGATGCCATATTTGTTAACGGATGGTTCAATCACTATGCAAAAGGATGTCAAAAATGCTTTAGCTGCAAATAAAGGAAGTGTTGTACGTCGCATGTTTGTTGTTAACGAACCATTTCCATCAGGTCAACGTGTTATCACCACAAGCGCAGCCCCAACAGTTGTTAAGAAACAAGAGCAACAAGTTTTAAGTTTGAATTGCGATAAAAATTGTAATTAAAAAATAATTTTGTTTGTTTGAAAATTCATTAAATACATAAATGTTTTCTTTAGATCTTTTAGTTGATCACACAGATCAAACGCATGCACTAACAAATGGTATTGTCGAACAAAAAGCTATACTTACCGCAGCACCTCCTGGAAGTAAAACACATTACAGTCCAATTGGTCCCATACAGTTAACAGCTGAGGAATGTAATGAAATTCTAATGAAACGTGCACTTGCAGCTTCTCAACAAACTCAAACAATAACCACCACAGATGCCCACACAGGAACAAGTAAATTGCTTTATAAACTTATTTATTTTGCGCTAAGCATATACACACTTTTGACAATTAAATAATTCGAATTATTTGTATTTATACAATTGTTCTAGATGATATTATACCTGGAATATCGGTGCAGGTACAGAAAGTAATACAAGGACTTGAAGATCAAGATGATTCACAAGGAGATACGCCAAACTTAAAACTAGAACCAGGAACATTGGAATTATCTCCCAAAACAGAATTACAGGAATCTATTAATTTTAGTGACGTAAGTATTAAATAAATAAAAATAAAATCGAAATATGTCACATTAATAGTTTATTAATATATAATTTTTATTGAACAGAACGATACCACTATAAAGAAAGAACGTCCTTTTAGTTGTGATGAATGTGGCAAATCATTTTTACTTAAACATCATTTAACGACACATGCACGTGTTCACACAGGTATATTCATTTATATAGTGTTTTAGTCTATGTATTGATTTGAATATTTTTCTGACAGGTGAAAGACCACATGTTTGTCCTCATTGTGGTAAAAGTTTTGCCCATAAGCATTGCCTCAATACACATCTCCTGTTACACTCCACTGAGCGTCCATACCAATGTGCGGAGTGTAAGAAAAGTTTTACATTAAAACACCATCTCTTAACACATTCACGTGTACATAGTCGCGATCGTCCATTTGTGTGCCAAGAATGTGGTAGATCGTTTCCTTTAAAACGACATTTGGTAACACATAGTAAATTTCATGCAGGAGAAAGACCTTTTGTATGCGAAGAATGTGGAGAAAGTTTTGCTCAAGAAAATCACTTAATTATGCACTCACGGTAAGTTAATTATATTATATACATAACTTAAACAATGCTTATAAATTTCAATTTTATGCAGATTTCATGGTTCAATTAATCCATTCGTTTGTCCTGATTGCGGTGTAACATTTCCGCGTAAATTTCAACTTGTAAATCATGGGCGAGTGCATGGTAAGGTGCCACATTCATGTACCGTTTGCGGCAAAGAATTTTTACAAAAACGTACACTCGTATCACATATGCGGTAAGTTTTAACTTTATAGATAATTATTATATTATAAAATTTTTGGACTATAATTTATTATATTTTAATAATTGCTTTTGCAGTATACATACCGGAGATCATCCATATCCTTGTATAAGTTGTGGAGAAGGATTTTTAACAAAAGCTGAGCTCAATCAACATTTTCGAAATAGTCATGGTGGCGTTAATCCTAATTCTTCGTCTAGCAATGTCGTGCCTACTAATACAATAATAACGACCCAACAACCTGCACAAAACATTCAGGTAAATTTACAAGACTATTTCTAATATTTTTAGAAGAGAAATGTAATGTTAGAATAGAATAGAATAGATAATGTATGGGGTATTGCAAAGTTATAGCTGATATTTTATGCTTATGAATTCATCAGGATATTGCAGGAAAATAAATGTCCAGATCAAATTTTAAATAAACTGCTTTTGTCAATATGGTGACTTATTTATTTTATTTAGTTACTCTAGCCGTAACTTTAATCACTATCATAATGAGAACGGAATTTCTGGAATTTCAATATTGTGAAATACACATTAAAAGCTCATATTTTATTAAAATTTATAAACGACCAAAAACATATAAGGTTGAAAATGCAAGGCTCTGCAAAATTAGTCGCTATGCATCTTGACCTCTAAAAAAATTATAATAAAATTCTAACGTGAACGTTATTATTCATAATTTTATGTTATATATTTATTAATTTTTATTTTTTTATAAATGCAGTTACATCAAACTCAGCAACAGCACCATCAACAACAGCATCAGCAACAACAACAGCAGCAACAACAAACACAGGCTCACCCACAAACAATTACTGTTATTAGCAATTCAGCAAATGCACAAATGCTGACTGTAACAGCCAATGATGGTAGCGGCATAACACGACCACAATTCGTTTGTCGGTTAGTATATATTTTACTTTTATTTGTGAATGAAAAATTTATTTATATATTTGCTTTTTTTGTTGTGAACAGAGAATGCGGAAGTGCCTTCAATAGTCGTGAAGCCTTAGCGCTTCACTTGAGACTTCATACTGGTGATAAAACCCTTATGACTGATCTTTGTGCACTAACGGCAGCTTTACCACCAAATTTCTTAAATGGTGGTTTAAATCCGAACACAACTGTTGTAGCAACAAATCCAAATATAGTTGCACAAAATTCAGTGCCAGTACAAATAATCTCATCTACGGGTCAAGTGGTAACACAAACCACATTGGTGCAGGCCGCCGCATCCACACATCCTCAAACAGTAGTGACGACAGTGCCAACAGTTGCAGTACAACAACAGCAACATACGCAAATGCAACCGGCTGTTGTAGCACAGCAACAAACGCCACCAAAACCAAAATCTCATTTCTGTCAAAGCTGTGGCAAAGGATTTGCTGCTAAGCATGGCTTAATGCAACATACACGTAGACATCCCAATGGTGGTTGCACAGTACGAACACATGTATGTGAATGTGGTAAAGCCTTCTTCCAGAAGAATCATCTTATGTTGCATCAACGGCAACACTTGGAAACAAAGCCAGTTATTGCACAACAACAGGTATGTCACGTATAAATATTAGTGCTTTAAAAATCATATCAGTTGTTCGAAACTTCGAGCATTTTGATGTTCAAGTATACTTGTTCGAAAATATTCGAACATTATTCGAGCAGTTGCTGTATGTGTTTGTATAAAACAAAACAAAAATAAAATTAAATATTAAACAGATTTGTTGTTCGAACAGTTTAGATAGCTTCGAGTTGTTTTAACATTTTCGAATATTTAAAGAGTTTGATCGAAATGTTCGAATTCGTGTATACGCCAAATGATTGAGCATCGTTATGCACTTTGAAGCACTAATAAATATTAATAATTGTGTATAAACAAAGTGAATTTATCTTTTTATTTATAACAAAAACAAAAAGAATTTTTAAATGCCAAATGTTATTTAAGTACAGAATATAAAAGTAGTGTGGAACAAATATTTATAAAATTTTTTATTTTAGAACTTTTAAATTTGGCGCACCCTGTTGACTGATCCGGTATATAACAATTTTCTAAAATCTAGGCGAAAACATCCTAAGAAAAAAAAATTATATTTATTTCTATGTAATATAATGTAATATAATGGCTAATGTAATCGTTTTAGTGTGTGATCATATAAAAGAAATGAAAGTGGAACAAAAATTAATTTAAAGATAAACTCTTCTTCTGAACAAGGTAAATTTTAAATTTATGGCTTTTCAACATGATATTTTTTTTTTTTACAAAATTTCACATCATTTAATTACTAAAAAACGTAAAATAGAAGAGTTTGTACTAAATTTAAACATGCTAAAACTGAATTCATTGGCCTTATCATATTGGCTTCTATATTTTCATATAAAAACAAATATAGTAGAAAGGCTTAGCTTACTGTTTTAACTTAGTCTGTCTGCTATTTTTAAAGTAACAAACCAATCGTTTTATGCAGTTCATTTAAGTTAATATCTTTACGAAAGTATATTGTTTTAATTAATATGCATATATGTATTTCAAGTTTACAACGTTGTTGGTATTATCAAAACTAAAATGATACATAATATAAGTTATTTATATTTATAGTAATTTTTAAATCAAGTATATATATTTTTATTTTTCGCTTTTATTTAAAAATATTTATTTATTTAAATTTATTTAAGTATTTATTTTATTTAAAAATAAAAGTCAAAAATAGAGAAGAATGTAAGAATGACAAAAACAAGGTTAGGTCCTACATGGACTGCAGCTATGGAATAACGATATATTTTTTTTATATATACTACACCGGCGCAAAAGGTTCTTTATTTATAAGTAAAAAAATAAGGAAAAGAGAATATAAAATGACTGTAATTCACATCATTACATCTGTATATATAGTAGAATTCTTGCGAAGAGCTTGAAAGAGTGTTATTCCTGTTTTTAGTATAGTGATACTTAAGTTTGCGTCGTCAAATATAAATTGAAACTCAATACTGCTTTAAGGGAATTCTAAATTCCAACTATCCCCCTAGAGAACCCTATAAAGAACTTCAATCCAAAAATTCAATAATACTTTAGTATATAAGACGATAAGCAAAAATGGTTGGCTTGGGACGTATATGCGTTTTTTATAACGAGCGTGTCGTGTCTTACAAGTTGAAAATGTAATGAAGATAAAAGACTTAAACAAGAACTTTTATGAAAAACTTGACTGGAAATAAACTCGTCAATTTGACTGAACAATATGGTTTCAGGAGCGACCTAGTCTACGTCCCCGATCTCATCGGCTACGCAGACGACCAGACCAAGTACTGTTTAGCACTCCCAACAACAAGATCCAAAGTAATAAAGCTTAAATGCTAATATGTTGATTGTTTCGACAATTATTGTCTGAAAATTTTCAAGTCATGTCTGAAGTGCTATTTTATTATTACCCTAAAAATAATGTTATCTCCAAAAATGGAGTAAGCACATTAAAAACATTCATTACAACATATATATCTGTAATTACTGACCTAACTATTAACTTTTAAAAGCAATAAGTTTTGTGTTCAGAAGAGACTCATCTCAGCATAAAAACAAGTGCCTCTCAATCCATCCAACAGTAACCCAAAAAGCCCTTCGCTTATGTTTACAACATCAAATAAAATTATATAAAAAAATTTGACTTAATGTTTAAAGGATCAATTATAAAAGATTATAAAAAATAGGTTTGTGCTACCGATTTTTAAAATCCAACTAATCTCCATATCTATGGGTAGTAAAGATATATTGACGTTCTATTTCTTATAAAAATATTTACTGCTTATATATACAATATAATATTTTATTTTAAAAGTGAATTTTCTTGTATTGTTTCATTGGTCAAGTCCTAATCCTGAATTATTAATATAATCCTTTTTAATATACAAAGCAAACGGTTTTTATGTTAAAAAAAATATTACCGGAAGAAAAAGAAGGGACACAGAACAGATTAATGCGATAATATTTTATATGCAATATTTGATTGATATGATTTTAGATTTATATAAAGATTTTCGAATAATATATAAGCTCTAGATTTATATATTGATTTTAATTTTAAAAATATATTTTAGATTTTTTTATACTGTCTAGGTTTATGTATTGTTTCTTGACTTATATATCTAGATTTAATAGTTAAATATGAATTCTATGTTTTTATATGGATTATAGATTTATGTATACATAGATTTTGAATTTATATATGATTCTAGTTTAATATACATATCCTCTTAAATTATATATAGATTTATGTCTGGGATTTAGATTATAATGTGGATTCTAGATACATATATTGATTTTATTTTTTTTTGTAAACTATACTTAGAATCTAGTTTAAAGGTGGATTTCAGATTTATATATGGATTTTAGATTTATATATAGATTCTAAATTTATAAATCGGTATATATTTATACTCTTTATTCTTATGCTTATAAATTTATGTACGTAAATATTATATTATACATTGATTGTTTTCTATAAATTTATTATATATATATTATATAAATTGCATTTGAAACATTAGTTTAATTTCTTAATAGATTATTAATATATATGTTGCTATATAAGTATGTTTATGAATATTATTTTATTATATATATATTAATATAGTTTAATATGGTTATTTGTTTAAATTTTAATTTCTTTCATAATTCTTTAAAAATTTGTTGTAATAAAAGTATTTAATAATTTATAAAAACAAAATAAAATTCACCTTATTCATGTTATTTATTGGAAACATTTAAAAAAAATTCATTTTCTATTTTTCAACAGACAACAACACAGTAGTTCCCATCATTATGTTTAAAGCAAATTTTGGACTTTGGAATAGTTATATAGCCGCCTGTCAGGTGTGATTTACATTTGGATACTAAATGTAAGACCCTTTCTGGATACTAAATATTTAAGATGTTAAAGTGTAATAAACCTCGTACTTGTATCCTTTTACATCAATTAGTTAATTAAGATTATTTAATTTGTAATATTGAACCGCAATTAATTTTATTTAATAATGACTAAATGTCTGATATAACCCTAAAGGTGAAACATACATTTATAGAGATTCGAACACGAATACAAATTATGGCCAAATTTTTTTTTTTGTTTGAATATTAAAAACAAAATATTGTTTTGTCGAAAATGGGTTAAATTTAATTTAATAATAAATTAGTTTGTCAAACTAATTTTGAAATGTATAAAATATGGCCATATTATTATACTATAATATGTTCCAGTTTTGTGTATTTTAAATTATAAATATATATTTAACATATAATTATATATATTAAACTTTTTAGTTTAATATTTTAGTTATTACTAGTTACATTTAGTTTATATATATAAATAAAGTTGTAAATTTAAAATATGTAAATTTTAATAATGAATTGACTTAAATATTATTTATATAAATAGTTTTTATTTCACTACATATACTAAATTGAGCTAATACATATGTCAAACACATTTTATAAAACAATTAAATTGTAAATATATAATTAGATTTTTTACATTATGATATGTAATATATAATTATATAAATAATAACAGCCGAAACTTATTATGTCAAAATCACACATATTGTTTATGTATTTTACTGAATTGTCTTTTAATTTAATTAATTTAAGAAAAATCAAGGTTTATATAAAAAATTCGAACATTCAAAATTGTTTGTAATTCGCCTATAATGTATGGCTTTTAAAATTTTTTAGCTTTAAAGCATATTAAAAATCGATATCTCTATAAATATGTGCTTCCGACAATATTATACTATATAATATTTTATATGAATTGAATTAATTAACTGTTTGTATTGTTGATACTTCTGTATATTTTATTATACAATTGCAATAATTATACATTACTTTTAAACAATTTGTATTTTTTTTTACTATTCCTTACTGACATAGATGTAGATATGTCTTACAGTTTGTATATACGAAAATAATGTTTTCTTTTTGTCGTTTGTCAACAACAAAAACTTTACAAATTAAAATCGCAATGTAAGTTTTTGCAGTGATATTTCTTTTTACAGCCATCGAAGTAATTTCAAAAAAAAAAATATGATTTTTTCTATTGTACATGTATAAGCAAACGACAAAAGGAAAACTAAGTAAAATTTATTTAAAAGTATAAATTATTAATTGTATTTGATTTTAAAAGGTTAAATATGCAAAGTTCTAACTTAGACTAAGTGATTAAGAAAATAAGATATATGTATTTTATTTCAGAGAAAAAAAAAATTATTGTTAAAAACTTAATTGTATTAGCTGATGTGTCGGTCGCATCTAAAAATACAACCTGAAAATTAAAATGTGGGATTTTCGTTATACATTAACTGTTTGGCAAATTAGAATTTTTATAAAATATATATAAAAACAAATTTATATATATATATATACATATTGTAATTATCGAGGTTCATTACTGAAACTTCAACATTAAATGCGTAGCGTTTGATCTTAGATTGAGTGAGAAAGTGAATAGAACCTCTTTAATACATAAATTTTATAACTTTTAGTTTTATTTTTTTAATTAACCGAAAATTATTTTATTATAAAAACATATACATATATGTAAACATATGTTCGTAAAAATTATACATATTATTAAGTATTTGTAAAATATATAATATATAAATATATGTATGTACACATAAAATATAAGCACGTTAAATGTTTATAAACAAAATGTACGACCCTTTTATTTTTATGTATATGAAGGATTCAATATATGATGTAGTTGATGTACACGTTTTTAATTATTTTATACACACAAATAACACTTATACATACGAACACAGAGAGAAAAAAAAACACATGCATTTAACATTATTCAAAAGTGCTAATAGCACAAGTAAATAAAAATGATTATGTTGTAAAAAAATAGATTTTTAATTAAGTGCAAAACTATCCGAATAATTCTATATAAATCTATATATATATAAAATATATACATATATTTTATTATAAGATAAAGTAATACAATAAAAATTCTAAAAGATAAATAATTCGTATGCTCTTTTATGTAATTTAATTGTAAAATATATATTTATTATTAGGAATTGCAATGTTGTTTAAATATATAATTATTTTGCTAAGAGTATAGTAATTATAACAAAGTTTTTTTTTCTATTTAATTCAAACAAATCCGTTTGTTGTTTTGTTATTTTTTAACTTATAATTTTAACACTTTGTTTCCTATAATATTTACTGATAAACCTACTTTCTGAATGAAAACATTTTAGGTAGTATAGTGAACGCTTGATTATGTGAATACTCAATTATATGAACAAAAAAGATGCGAAAAAATTGCACACTTGGTATTCTACAAGGTGCTGATTCGATACAGTAGTAGTACAGTGAATGCTTGGTTCTACAAGGTACTGATTCGATAATCTAGGTGATACAGTGAAGGCTTGATGATATAAATACTCGATAATATGAACAAAAAAATGCAAACAAATGGAATACATAGTATTCTACAAGGTATTGATTCGATGATCAGGTAGTACAGTGAGAGCTTGGTTATGTGAATACTCGATTATTTGAACAAAAAAATTACGAAAGATTTGAACACATGGTATTCTATAAAGTAATGATTCGGTGATGTAAAGAAGTAAACTCCTATCAAGTCGAAAATCAAGTTAAGCTACGTAAGTTACAAAATGTAGTGAAAGTAACATGACTTCCCAATAAAATTAGAACTGAAGTGATCCGGAAATGTTGGATGAAAATCAAATTATGCGCAAAGCTCTTATCTGTATATGAAGTTAACAGCTTATTATTACTTAAAATAATTAAGTGTTCAATTCCAATACTTGGCATTGAAGAAATGTCCGGGGCAAATTTTGATCAAAGTGCTTGTTCGGAAGAAAGTACAAATGCTGGTGATCGATTGTATCCCAGAAAAATAATGGGGAAGAATTTTAAAATGTACAGAAATGATTTTATTTTTTTTTTAAAGTAATTAAAGTAATTATTAATTTATTCAAAATTTTGTTTTTATCTTGTTTTTATCTTGTATTTCGAAAAATACGTAAAACCTTTAATATGAAAATATAAAATTTAACGGAGTGCAATCAATATATCAGTAAGAGACTTTAGCAAGAGATTTCTTTTTTGGCATACTCTAGAATGGCACAATATTACTACTTATTGTACCACTTTGTCATGTTACTAAGTTATCTGCTTATCGAGGTCGTTTGTCGAAATCGTGAATATTGTTATTGTATTATATGTATTACTAATAAGAGTGTATTTTTTCTAAAGAATGTTGAACATACAGAAAGTCTCTAGTTAAATTCTCTTTTTGATGTATTGACATCCCTGCTGCTATCGTTCAAATTGTAATTCTGAACAAAAGCGTAAGTCTTATATCAAGGAGATTTGTCTTTTATTAACTAAAATACTACAGAATTATAGAAACCAAAACGTTAAGCGATCTAATTCAAGCGTCGATTGAAACTTATTAGCGAAAATTCTAGTTATCAGTTTATTCTAGTTTTGTTTATAAACAAAAAAATAATTCAGAAAACATATATAATATGTTTGTATAAAGATTAGAATGTCAATAATCCATATTATTATTGAAATAAATAGGTAAAATGATCCATATTTCAACAAGATACTTAAGAGTACATCTAATCTATACACCCAATATCTATTTCTTATATATGTATAACTTCCTTAAAGTCCTTCCTATTTTCATGTCATCAATATTACTGTTGATATAAGGTATATATATATACATAGGTAGAACTTTAATAAAACACACAACTGAGATTTTTATATGTGATGCACATATATGTATATAACATACTTCCTATAATTTTTTTTTTGAAGACTCCACCTTATTTAGTTTCGTTCATTTAATATTTTCTAAAACATTGAGTATTTCTATAGACCGTCGTCTAAAACGATTTTTTTTAAAAACCGTCCCTAGCTCTTTTCCAACCGATTGGTCCTTATGTGCCTTGTGTGCTTGTGGAAATATGCATAGGTTCTGTTAATATGGAAAAATCTAAACTGGCAAGATGTACACATATGAAATATCTTATTAGATCGAATATATGGAGCGATATCTCGATTCCTAAAGAATTACTGATACACAGCTTTTAACTTTAAACTCGAGTTCTTAGAGATAGCACGTTTAGGTGTTGCTATGATAAGATACAAAGTCTTATAGAATAAAAATAATTATTAAACAAAGTGAGGACTCAGTGATCGGTTATTATAGCAAATAAAAGACCAAAACAAAGCAGACATATTAAGACGACACTGAACACTGAAGTGAGTAAAATTTATATTAATATAAATATTTTTTTATTATTAAAAACATTTATTTATTCTTTAATTCAAACAAATTAAAAAAAATTAAAAGAAATCCCTATAAGCTGTATTGAAACGGAGTTCAGAGAGAAGTCTCTTGAGCTGAAGGAATAACTAGTAGTCAAATGGTGATAAATCAGGAGCAATGTTATAGAGTTAGACCATTTTGGCGAAATGATCTCGAATAACCAAAGCAGTTAAGGTGGGGAATTATCGTGACGTAAAAACCAATGAATTGTCTGCCCATAATTCTTGGGTAGATTCTATTCATAATTATATTTTATTTTACATAAACATTGAATAACGCTCAAGTAAGTAATTCACAATGCACCACATCACGATTATTAAAGAAAACTGCTCATATGAGCTTGCTGCTTGACTTTAGGATGATTCTTTAGCTCAGCTTTTGCACAGCATACGTTTTAGTCGTCGGTTGTTTCTAAGTCGTATGTATAGGTCCTAATTTTATTTCCAGTTTTCATCAATTTCATATCAGTTTTGTTAGATAGATCGCAAAGCAAAAAGGTTTTTTCAAGATATGAGAAACATTTGTTAAAATGGTCTGGACTAAACCAAAATGTAATACGAACAATATCAACGAAGTCTATATGAATCTTCTATATCTATATTGTATAGATGTAGTCTATATATTATTGTCTATGTTGATTTCAGTACAAGTCTAACAAGTTTACAAGTAACTGATAAAAACTGACATTTTTAGACAAAGGAAGGAGAATGTGGATCTGTGTTTGAAGACAAGAGGTAGAAAAGAGTATTTTCAGAAAGTTTTTAAATATAAACTAACCGAAGGA